GTAAGTCAAGTCTCTGCCACTACTTTAGCCTGCTTAAGTCTGGAGTTGGCTCGAAAACTAGAGGGCAGCAGACCTGGCCAGAATACTTTGGGTCCTCCATGGCATAAACGAGCCCCCCAATCATGAGGCTCAGACACCCAACAACTTCCCCAATCTTGTGCAGTGATGGTGTTCGACCTTCAGGCTCTGCATGATGTTCTTTCTCCTTATCAACGATATCCACACACATTATCGTAAACCCCATACTGCCTTGCCTCTAACAGATACTACTGAGACAGACACCCCTGCACAATACTCGCACCTCACCTCCACCATGTCAGCAAATTAATATAACACTAGTAATAGTAGCACTGCAGCAGGGGTAAGAGAACGGTCTAGGGGAAGGAATAGCCATGTGGTTGGCGGTCTTAGCTTGCCTACCTCTTGATGATGCCATCTGTTTGGGCAGTATAGTAGGGAGTAGTATAGGTGGAAAACAAGTAAGTAGCTACGACACATCTACTACACTACACCACACCGGACCACAACGGCCATCACCCGAACCCATCAGCATTCCATAATGCAATGTATGACTCGTATCTTCATGGCTGACGGGATCGACTGGGATCGAATCCTGAGCCATGTGCACAGGGTATTGTTGCCCAGGAGTGGGGTACCCCTTTCTTCCCCCCCTCTTTTCTCCATATCCGTCTCCGTGATCCCGTCCGTCTCCTTCCTCCTTCGCACGAGTATGAAGAGTCCGGTTCCGCTAATTAATTTGTTTTTCTCGTGAGTGAGTGAGTGAGCGAGTGAGTGTGCCTCTGGCTGGATTACCCGAGAAGCCTAACTTTCCCTTTTCTGATTTTCTCGTGCCGGCCGGGACTGGAGATCTGGAAAACCATGGCTCAGCTTATGCAAGTGGAGTTTGGTAGTAGTAGAAAAACCAACAACAAACGGAGCCGTTGTAGTATGAGTATTCGGTTGGTCAGTCAGTTAGACTTGAATTAGACGAACGAGGTAGGTTAGATGTTTTCATTTCTTATTGTTACCTTTTAATTTTTTTTTTTTTTTTTTTCGTCCTATTTTCCTGCCGAGAAAATTCGACGATACAGGGCGGGTTCTTCTTCAACTCCAATCTGCAGTGTGCCTCAGCCGCAACACCATTAGGACTTGCTAGTCAAGTAGTCGCTTGAAGGGGAAAGGGATGTTGGCCTCATGGCGGCTGTCATTTGCCCGTTCGCCCAACGGGCCCCATAGTAATGATGGATTTAACCAAGCCTAAAGAGGGAAACCCATCGTTCCTGCCAAGTGAGTATGACAAAAACGCCCTGCCGCTTTTTCCCTCTTTCTTTTCTTCCTATTTGGTCTTGTCTGACTGTTTATTTTATTTTATCTTACTTTCTTTCCTTACCGGATCAATTAAATCGAACTGAAAAATCCTGATCGGGAAAGAGATGACAGGAATGGATCCATTCCACTTTCTCATTCCCACTTTTTGTAAAGACACACTGGCAGCGTCGGTTAGCCTCGCTGGGGAGAGCGGATTCACGGTTCCGTCTCCATCTGACCTGGTGGAAGTCAAAGTAGTAGTCTAAGTCTAACATAGCCATGGTAGTAGGGCTAGTCCTGAGTGGTTGCTTGCTGTGATCACCCTACAAACTGATCATCAAACTGCAGTGCACTGGCTCTCTCGCTTACCTGCCTTAGGTACATTATTATTTTTTTTTTTCTTTCCCTCCCTCCCTTAGTGCAGAGCCTGAAGGAGATTGGACGATAATCGCATTGTCGTATTTATTTTTATCTCTGATTATTCTTCTTATTATTATTGTTGTTATTATTATTATCTGCACGATTTATTTTAATGATTTTTCCATATTACCATAATATTACATTTAATTTTCCAATTTATTCTATTTACTATTTTGTTACTATGCTTCCAAATCATTTTCCCACCTTCGCTTTCCCCGGCGATCGCTCGGGAAGGACTAAAAAATACCAAGTTAAGTAATTAAGTAGTAGTTAGTGGTTCAACCCAGGTCTAGCCTCATCCAGTGGTGCTTCTATATCACTTTTGCTTTGCTCCCTCTAAACTATCCACCCTGACAGCCTCTCCGCCACCATTCCGCCCGTTTCAGATCGTCACTTTCCTTCTTCTTTTTATTTTTTCCCCCATCTTAATCTCACTGCCCCAATCCGGCCTGCAGATGCGAGGCATTTTCCCTGCCTCGTCCGTTCTGATCTCACCCTGGTCTGTTCCCCAATTCTGTTAGTATAGCTGCATCACAGCCCACCTCCCACTCTAACCCCCAATCTCCACACTTACCACATGTCTATCCCGTTCCTGACAAGTTCTGGGTCTGTTACAGAATGATCAGGGGATAGCCTCCTTCAGGAACCAAATCCTATATCAATCGCTCACTCGCCAATCTCAATCCTGTCTATCCTCACTCCATCACAACCAACTCTATAAGATCAAAGCCTCTTCCTGCCTCTTCATCCTTCAGACTCCAACAACTCAAACCTCAAACAACTACAACTACTACTACCAATCCTACTCCTGCTACAACAACATCCGATACCTTCTACAACACCATCAGACACACCAAGCAGGCAGACAAACTTGAACAATGCGTCGAAGCACTACTCAGTCGGAGATCCCTCTCCCCATCACCTACACTCCAACTACGCATCGCATCAGCAAAGCGAAGAAGGGAAAGCGTGTGCATGCTTGCGAATACCCAGGCTGCAACAAGGTTGGTACCACGAGGTTGCTGTCGCACAGACTTGGAAACAAGCTGACCCTCCAATTCAGGTCTTCACCAGAGCCGAGCACCGAAGGTAAGCCGTTGCACTTGTGTCGCAATAAACCTGCCTTATTGGTATGCTAATCGAATCTTACAGACGCCATGAGCTGAACCACAACCCTGAAGCCCTATTCCGCTGTACCCACAGCCACTGCAAAAAGGCGTTCCACCGCCCTGACCTTCTCGCCCGCCACATGGAAAGACAGTAAGTATTTCCTGCCACTACAGCTTGCTTGTAAACTTTACTGACGGTTACCTCCAGCGAATTGGAAGCACAGATGGACAGGACTGCCCAATGGCACCAGCAGAGCCGGACTCCCATCATCTCTGAGCCTTATGTCCCTGCCACCACGTCTATGCCCTCAACTCAAACACCATACCTGGCCGTCACCCAACCGCACAATGCCATGTCGGTTGGTGCCCTCGTGGCGCCTGCCATCCACCCAGACCTCTCCAATGACTGCGGCTTGATGTGGAATAGTGTCGAAATTACATCTGGACACCAGACTCCTTTGTACCAAGGCCCCCATCAGATTCACGAGTCCGTAGAAGACAGTCGGTACTACGCTACCCCGGAAACGTGCCCGTCTCCTCTCTCGGATGGCACTTCCCTATCAGTGCACTCTCACTCCCGTTCGTCTGTCGTCTCCACACCGGTTACGGTCGCTGAGCCGTATCCCGAGAGCCTCATGGAACCCGACCTGACTTCCTCGCCAATGTCCATGCAGTCGAATATGCGCTGCTGGGAACAGCCAGACACCAGCCTCCCGTCCCTAAGCATGATGCCCCTTCCTCTCACCGAAAGCCTCCTTCATCCGGTATGTCAATCTGAGAGACATCCACCATAATATCATCGCTAATTTCCCATTGCAGTCTATCCACTGCCCCTATCCATCGCCCAGCTGGTCAGCGAGCCCAAGCCTGACCTACGAGGAACACGTCCTCCCTCCCGCCTCATACCCACCCGCAATGAACTGGAAGTCATGGGCGATATGAGCAACAACAAAGCCAACAGGCGGTGATAATCTTCATCTTTCACCACCGACGACAGGCCGGTGCCTAATTAGGGCTTATGAGCCATGTTCCAATACGACTGATACGCTAATACTCGCCCTCCCTTTGGACGACACGCAGTGATATGTATGCATATCTCTGGTACTCCTAATCTGTGCGGACCGGGAATAATGCGACTGTACGAGAAGAAGAGAACCACGCAGCATCACCGTCAAGCCGGTCTCGCACCGTTCAAATGAACCATAATACGACATTAATGCCACCATGCATTGACGTTGGCATTACCAGGCCCATGAGGCCATGGGAACGAGCCACCAAAGAAAAGGGTGGCCTCATCCCGTTATTGATCTGTTTATCAATCCTTGTTATCATTTCCTTTGTCTATCTGCACATATTTCCTTTGTTCTGGAGAAAAAAGCCCTGGTCTGCAATTTGGCTACCCGGCTACTGGATGGCGTCCATTTGGGGTCTTTATGATTGATTATATACCCATGTTGTGTGGCTTTCTTATTTCGCAACGTGCACTGATTGTCCATATGTCATGTTATACTTATTGAGTTATGCTAGCTTGATGGTTTCTTTTTTGTTGTGTTTTGATGCTTTATCTGAGCCAATGATGTTTTCTTTATTTCTTTTTGTTCTTTCCTATGCAACCTTGTACAATGTGCTGCTCTTTTCCTTATAGAATACTTTTTTGTATACTAGTATAGACTACACTTCTTGCTGCAAGACCTATCTATTCTACACCTTATGCCTGGTAACTTTTCTCATGATTCTCTTGATAGTTCTTCTGGTAGTTACTCTGATAATGTTCCTGATACAATATTTTGGTTAGATAACTAACTTGGTTTGACGAATTGGAATTAATGGGGCTTCTTAGAAGACTCTGCATTGCTGGTAAGTCTTTCACTGAGTACTACATGGAATTCTTGACGAAGGCACTGGTAAAGATACTCTGCTCAGAATAGTCTGGGCGCTGCTGACATTCATGGTCCCAGGAATGATCGACTAGTGACTGTTGCTAGGCATGTCTATCAAGCCATCAAACTATCTCAGTTCAACAAATCGGAGGACACAGAGTTCCAGCCAAAAGTCCAATAATATCCAGGATACTAAGTCGCGCTCCTATCCTATGTTCGCCCACCAGACAAGTTCGCTACATAAGCCCGTGGCAATTACTTCATCTAGCTAACGGTCGTAAAGTCATCTAACGTTCCACAGCTCATCTCTGGCCGGAATGACTCGCCAACACCATCCGCACCAGCTTCGATGCTGTCCCCGCTCCTCTCTAGTAAGATACTCGCCTGTTTCACGCTCATCTTCATGCTCTACTACACAAGCACCCACCGTGACTCGTTTTTTCGCCTTGTGTTTGACGCGGCCTCCGATGCCGATAATCTCCTGTCGAAAGTAGCCCGGTTCTTCTTCCTCACGATGCTCCCAGCCGTCATGGGCGTGATTGTGGTGTCGTGGAGGACTCTGACTGTGGCGATGTTCATAGTAGCGACCATAGTCAGGGGGGCTCCCTGAGGCTTCGTCCGCTTCGCATTCTACCTCTAGCTCAATTTCTTGGGCTGCGAGGCAATCCTCTCCTCTACCGCACTTGACGCCTTGGCAGCCTTCTCCAATCCCAGTGCCGAGGCCACCAAGATAGGTACTATAACGGGTGCGCCATGTCCATACCCGTCGGTAGGTGGTATCGCTGCTGCGTACTTGGTGTCCGCATTGATGACAAAGCCATATAGCATTATCGCAGGAGCAAGGCGTACGTTGGAACGCCGAGATTATGGACTGAGGAGGATGTGAAGGCGCATGTGTGTAGATGTTCTGTGGATGAGCATGTTCGTAGGGTTGCTCGATAAGCTCATTCAGAGGGGCCGTGCGACAAGTGGTGCAGAGACGACGAATGCGGTGTCTGAGCATGTGGCTGGATGGAGGCTTGATAACGCAATTCTACATGGTACAAGTATCAGTATTGGAATGGGACGACACAGAGCTTGGTGGAGCAGACTCACCCGGCACACAACCTTGGAACATCGACGGCATTCGGCCACCATATCTCGGGCGCATTTGGAAATCTTGCCACTGGTCAGGCGTCCGGAACTTCTGGCATTCTGGCTGAGCAAACGCATAACCGACTTGACGCTGTCAGGAATGCAAGCTCCGCTGTCCAACATGTCCGATAGTGTCTCGATATACTCATTCTCACAACGCAAGGTCTGCTTAACCAGCTGTTGGCGATAGGGAGAGAGGTTGGCGTGGAATTGACGACATGTTCGTGAAAGGGCGTGTAGAGTATTCAAATCCACCGAGCGAGCAATTGCCTTGATAATCCTGTATCCGCAGTCAGCACACCATACCGAACCAGACACTGGAGCGGCCTGGTTCAAAGTGTCTCATACGGATAGCAGCTCAGAGCAGCTGAGAAAGCATTCCGATTCGGATTTTGTTGTGGCGCTTTAGAGATGGGAGAAATGCTGTGTAACGGGTCTGCGGAGCGATCACTGTCCGCGGATACATCCGCTGCACGATGCGGCTCGTCCGGTTTGACAGGTAATAGTTCGGATAACCCAGGCTTTTTGGGTTCTATGTAGGGATGTAGGAAGGGATTGGAGGGACCCGAGATTTGATGCGGGCTAAGCGCATCGTCGTCGAAGTCAATGAAAACCACCATCCTGTTTCGAGGGAAGTATTTATGGCACAGGCGGAGGGGAAAGAGATGCACAGGTTCCGAAGAGGCTTGCTAACCGGCAGCAACCTGAATGAACGAGCAACAAGAATTGAGCACTAGAAGTGAGACACGCAAGCCAGATCAGTCTAGTTGGGCCATTATAAGTATATAAAACGTCCAAAGAAGCACCAGAAGCCTGTTGAAGGCTACAGTGGGATGATACGGCAGGGAAACATCCAGCTCCGCTCCGTATTCGGCGCGGGTCCTGAAGATCAACAGCAGAGTGGTTCGTCTCGGCGATCGAGAACCCGTGGGCGATTTGGCTGGGTCAGATGGGGAATCCCAACGTGGAACCGAAACCTTCAGGGGCGGTCCTTATTATATTCGAGGCAGACGAGTCATATCCAACACGCCTCGTGGAAGAGATAGATCGGGAACGATGTTGGTTGCATCGATTTCTCCCAACGTCATGCCTTGTTGGGGTCACGCGTCGGCCGCCAGTCAGGTGTCACGCCTTTCCTCTTCGGGAAGGTGCATCTCTCTCTCTCTCTTCTCCGCTCCTCCGCATTTGCTCGGCTTCTCTCTTCTTCCACTTTTTATTGCAATATTAGACTCAATGAAGAGAATGAAGGTGGCACCATTATAGTCAGAACTCTGTAATACATCTTCTATGTTTTATTTACTCAATTGGCCGTGGATGGTACCTCTACGACTAAGGATGGACTCGAGCATCTCCCTCCACGGCGGCCAAAAGGAGGGGCGAGACTCATCTTACCCCACCAGGCAGTTGGAGTCATTATTTCTATCTTATCGGGGAAGTCGGGGCATTTTCCGAGGATAACTGATCGCCTCTATCGTATCCCTTAGCCGGATCCTTAGTGACAAATATACTTCTTGCCTTGTGTTTCTTCCTCCTTCTCTAATACTTGTACTTGACTATTCTGCTGAACCTATTCCTCCGCGAGACCCCCTCCCACACCGCAGACACAACCCGATCACGCCATCAAAATGCCATTGAACTCCAAAGCAGTCTATTCTCGGCTCAACCCCGATTTTGTCCCTTTCGCCAGTCGGAGAAGTACTGTGCATAGCACAAAAGGAATTGTAACCTGTACTCAGCCATTGGCGGCCGCCGCAGGCCACAGAATCCTGAGTGAAGGAGGCAATGCCGCCGTACGTTCTGGAGGAAACCCGCCATCTTCTGAAATCTAATGCTGATTTTGTTTAAAAGGATGCTGCTGTAGCTGTCGGTCAGTACAATGAGTGACTTTTGAGAGGAGATGAAACTAAGAGAAATGTGTTTACTAGCTGCGGCATTGAATATTACAGAACCCTCATCCACAGGCATCGGTGGAGACATGTTCTGCCTCTTCTATGATGCCAAAACGAAGAAAGTCCATTCACTGAACGGCTCTGGTCGCTATCCTGCCAATGCGACCCTCGAAAAGGTCAGGAAGGATCTGAACCTTGGTCCTGATGAGTCTGGAAAAATACCAATGACCAGCGTCCTCGCTGTGTCTACTCCCGGTGCAGCGGCCGGGTGGGTTGATACAGTGGAAAAGTTTGGTAGTGGAAAACTTTCTCTGGAGCAGATCTTGCGTCCTGCTATCGAACTTGGTGAGGAAGGCTTTCCTGTCTCGGAGTTGGCATCTTTCTTTGTAAGCGCACCGTTCACTTCATCCGACGTATACAACAAGCTGACTCCCTGCAGTGGCACGAAAGCGAACATCTGATTCGCGCAGCATCGCCAAACTACCATGAGATGCTCAAAGCTGATCCCAATGCTGAAAACGGTGTTCGGAGCCCTCTCCCCGGAGAAATCCTGAGAAACCCCACACTGGCCCAGACATTCCGAGCGCTTGCCGCAGAGGGAAAGAAGGGCTTCTACGAAGGACGCGTTGCAGAAGAGCTTGTCAAAGTCGTCCAGGACCTGGGAGGCTATATCACTCTGGAAGACCTGAAATTCCACGCCGAAACCGGAAGCCAGGAAACAGAAGCCATCTCCCTCAAATTCACCGGTCAGGATATCGTCGAGAAGCAGGCCGCCGGTACAACCGGCGAGGCTAACCAGGGAGTGGAGATATGGGAGCATCCACCAAACGGACAGGGCATTGTGGCTCTCATGGCTTTGGGTATCCTCGAGGAACTAGAGCGCACAGGAAAGATCCCCAAGTTCACTGAGGCACAGCACAACTCCGCCGAATACCTACACGCAATCATTGAAAGCCTGCGCATTGCATTTGCCGATGCGTCCTGGTGGGTCACCGATCCCGACGTGGAAAAGGTCCCAAGCAAGGAACTTATATCCCGCGAATACCTCGCGGAGCGTGCCAAGCTCTTCAACCCTGACAAGGCATCCGATATCCTTGACCATGGCAGTCCAGCCCACAACCACTGTGACACGGTATACTTCGCAGTGACAGACAAAGAAGGAAACGGTATCTCCTTCATCAACAGCAACTATGGAGGGTTCGGAACATGCATCATACCCAAGGGATGCGGATTCACACTCCAAAACCGGGGTGCCAACTTTTCGCTGACCCCAGGGCATCCGAACGCTCTGGCCCCGCGCAAGCGACCCTACCACACTATTATCCCCGCATTGATCACCAACGTCTCCGACGGATCTCTGCACTCGGTATATGGTGTGATGGGCGGCTTCATGCAACCCCAAGGTCACGTCCAGGTCCTTCTCAATATGCTTGCATTCAACTACCACCCTCAAGCTGCGCTCGATTCCCCTCGAATCTGCATCTCCGCTGCGACCGCCGATGAGGGAAAGCCCATCGACAGAACAGTCTATGTGGAGGAAGGTGTCAGCGATGCTGCGGTTGAGGGCCTGAAGAAGCTGGGCCATCAGGTCGAGGTTCTGGCTGGATGGAAGAGAGGCATGTTTGGCCGTGGACAAATCATTCGTTGTCACTATGATGATGGGAAGCTGGTGTACAGTGCTGGTAGCGACTTGAGAGGTGACGGAATGGCGATTCCAGCCCTGTGAAGATCCAATCTGGTGGTTAAGAAGCTCATTGTTACGAGCCGAGACGATACGTATCCTAGAAAGTGCCAATGCAGCTTAAATAAATTTGATTCAGAGGTATTCCACAGCGCGCATAGAATCCCATAAGACGAGAGGAATAGAAGTAGAAAGTACCCGCTAGTTTTCATTCGCTTCATCGCAGAAATAGCACTTTTCGGAGAAGAGAAGAAGACATTAGGAGTAAAATATAAGTCCACATATAGAAAAGATAGTCATATTAATCATCACAATCATCAATTGCATGCAGCATAGATCAAACGTAAGATACATGAGAATAGAACCGAAATAGGCTAAAATGCTTTCATAAAAAGGTCACAAGCACCCCGAACCATATGCTATTCCCGCTGATGCATGCATGCTGTGAATCTGCTGCGCAAAAAAAACTGCAAGTCAAAATGGACAAAAGAAAACAAAGAATAAATAAATACATCGAGCTGACAGAGAGGAAGGTAGAAAGCGAAGGACAGCATTACGGCAAGGGTAATGAGTTTGGTTTCCTAAGCAAGCATTTATCAGTGAGCAGCAATCGCACCCAAGAGAGTCTTCAGCTTGGAAGGTCCGCTGGGTGGAGGAGACGGCTCGCGTCGATGTCTGTGATGACGATGGCGATGTTCTCCGCTACTACGGTGATGGCGACGTTGCTCGGGTTCTTCCCTTGCCCTTGTTTCCTGCTCCATCTCCATCCTCTTGCGCTCTTTGCGAGCTTCACGCCGAGCTCGAGCTTCTTCGTCGTCCTCGGGACGTGGTCGACTGGAGCGCTCACTGCTGCTCTTGCCGTCTTGCGATTGACGTTGACTCTGGTGGGAGGAGGACCTTCTCTCACGGTCTTTGTAGACGTTAGCGGAGGCCTTGGCAGCGTTGATCTTCAGAAGTGGACCATTGGTGTCTGACTGACCCTCCATATACTTCAGGAAGAAGCGAGGCTTGGGTTCTGTGGACTGGGTGTGGCGCGACGAAGAGCTGCTCTTGCGCTCGCGGTCCTGGCTTCCAGAGTGATCTGACCGTGGGTGTGACCTGGTGGGTGCGCTCTCCTTTCCGCTCAAAGATCGTTCGGATTGTTCCAAGTTCCTTGATCTTGCGCTTCGCTCAGAGCGCTTTGCGCGTTCTCGCTCCCGCTCCCGTTCAAGTTGTTCACGTTGTTCGCGCTCGCGCTCGCGTTCGCGCTCTCGGTGTCTGCGCTCACGCTCTTGTTGTTTGCGCTCTTGCTCTTGTTGCAGACGCTCTTGTTCTTGTTGTCTGCGCGCGCGTTCTTGCCGTCTTTGCTCGCGTTCGCGCTCACGCTCGAGCTCACGTTGGCGTTCGTACTCTTGTTCCCGTTCCCGTTTTCGCTCGTCGCGATCCCGGTCACGCTCCCGCTGCCTGTCCTTTTCTCTCTCTCTTCCACGGTCCGAAGAGCGGCGCTCTTTCTCAACGACCTGAATCTTTTGCTTCTGCTTCTCTTCGTGAATCCTCTTGGACTCCTGTAAAGCTTGTGCCCATCGACCCACGATGCCAATACGCTCACCCTTTTGCCTTTGTGATCGATGACCATCAGAAGAGCTCCTGGACTCCTTCCGATCATAGTCGGCGTCGGGTGATTTTCTGTGCCTCCTTCGTGAATCTTTCCGGTGGACTGCTGCGGTGGCGGCGGCGGCGGCGGCTGTGGCCCCGGCTATGGCTCCAGCTAGGACCTCACCTCTTGAAGAATCATTAGCCTCGGTTTCTTCTGACGGCTCTGAGCTCGGATCTGCTTCATATCCTTCGCTTTCGCCCTGTTCTTCCGGTGGGGGTGCTGCAACTTCTGATGGCTCGATAGAAACGGCTCTCTCAGCAGGAGCTATATCTTCTGCGGGTACTTCAACAGGAGCGGGGTCTTCAGCGGCAGCCTGCTCTTCAGCAGGAGCGGGCTCTTCCAAGGCAGCAGGCTCTTCAGCCGGGGCGGCGACTGCCACAGCAGCCTCCTCCGCAACGGGCTCTTCTGCAGCAGCAGGTTCCTCCACGGCGGCAGGCTCTTCTACAGCAGCAGGCTCTTCCACAGCAGGAGTAGCTTCTTCCGCTGGTGCAGGTTCTTCAGGCTCCTCGACTGGGGCAGGCTCTTCTGCAGCAGGAATAGCCTCTTCCACAGCAGCAGGCTCTTCCACAGCAGCAGGCTCTTCAGACGGGGCGGCGGCTTCCGCAGCAGCCTCCTCCGCAACGGGCTCTTCTACAGCAGCAGGTTCCTCCACGGCAGCAGGTTCTTCTACCGCAACGGGCTCCTCCGCTGCAGGAGTAGGTTCTTCCGCTGGAGCAGGTTCTTCAGGCTCCTCCACCGGGGCAGGCTCTTCTGCAGTAGGAATAGCCTCTTCCGCTGTAGCAGGTTCTTCGACCACAGCGGGTTCTTCAGCAGGGGTAGCTTCTTCCACTTCAGGCTCTTGCTCCGCGGCAGGCTCATCTACTGGAGCGGGTTCTTCCACTGGAGCGGGTTCGTCAACAGCTCGTTCAGCGGGAACCTCTTCCACAGACGAAGACTCTTCTGCCGGCGGTTGTTCTTCAGCGGCAGTGTTCTCCTCGGGAACAGGTTCTTCAACCGAAACTTGCTCTTCTTCAGCCGATGCGGGCTCCTCAGCGGCGGGCTCCTCGACAGTTTCTTCCACCGGGGCAGGCTCTTCGATAGGGGCAGGCTCTTCGGCAGCGGGCTCTTCAGTGACAGGCTCGTCAGCGACGGGTTCCTCAGCGGCGGCTGGCTCTTCAACGGTAACAGGTTCCTCGGTGGCGGGCACCTCGACAGCTTCTTCGACAGGTGCAGGATCCTCAGCCGGTACTGATTCTTCAACGGTAGCCTCAGCTTCAGGTTCAACAACAGCAGCAGGTTCCTCAATCGCGAGCTCTTCAGAAGCAGCGGGCTCGTCGGCGATAGGCTCCTCAGCAGGAACTCCCTCTTCAGCAGCAACATCCTCTTCAGCAGCGGCCTCTACTGGAGCAGACTCTTCAACTGGGGCAGTCTCCTCAGGCGCAAGTTCAGGAGGAGTCTCATCTGGGGCTGGAGGTTCTTCAGCTGCAGGTTCTTCAGCGATAGGTTCTTCTGCAGGAGCGGATTCTTCGGGCATCGCTTCTGTGGCCGGCTCTTCGGCGGGAGCGTCTTCAGGAACTTCACCGACACCCTCTTCTGCTGGCACTTCCTCAGTCGATGGTGTCTCTTCAGGGGCCGCTTCTTCTGTCACTTGCTCGGGGTCTTCGACATGAACTGGCTCTTCTGATGGCGCATCCTCGGCGAGATCAGCAGGCGAATCCTCAGATTCCGGTGCGGCACCCTCGGCATCTTCGTTCGGAGTCGCTTCTTCGACTGCGGCCTCCGCGGCCGGGACTTCCTCTGCTGCGGCCTCCGCGGGAGGCTCCTCTGCAACTACTTCCTCGGTCGGCTTTTCGTCAGCTGGCTCTTGAGCATCTACCGGTTCATCCTCGCTTGCTGCTTCCGGAGTAGTCTCCGCTGCCGCTGGAGTTTCATCGGTAGGCTCTTCGACTGACTCCGAAGTCGTGGCTTCCTCAGGAGATACCTCCTCGCTTGCTGCCTCCTCCGCGGCGGGTTCTGATGTAGGTTCTGCTGCTTCTGTAGTTTCCTCAGCCGGTACGTCTGTTGTATCATCCGCGGTGGGCTCTTCAGCCGGAGGTTCTTCTGCAACACTTTCTCCGGCGGGTTCTTCCACGACAGCGGCTTCCTCAGCAGGTGTCTCGGCGGGTGTCTCGGTAGGTGTCTCAGCAGAATCTTCTTTAGCGACAGGTGTTTCGGTAGACTCTTCGGCTGGCGCTTCACCGGAGTCAACTTCTGCTGAGGCCTCATCGGTTGTTTCAGGCTGTGCGGCCTCTTCAGGTGACTCTTCGGGGGCAGCGGCCGTTTCTTCCGGTGCCTCTTCAGTTGCATTTGCTGGCTCTGCTTCGGGTTCAACGTTGGCATTGTCCGCCGCTAAATCTTCTGTCGACTCTGGCGTTCCCTCGTCTGCTGGTGCTTCATCCACAGTTTCTGTGGTGTCGGGACCAGGTTGTTCCTCTGGAGTTTGATTCTCCTGTCCTTCTGGGGCGACAGGAGTTTCCGTGGGTTCTGGCGCAGGCTCGGGTTGTGCTTTAGCCTCATGCTCTTGAGCCTCCTCCGCATCTGCGACCGGTTCTTCGGGCGATGCATCGCCGCTGTTGGCTTCGGTGCCCTTGTCGTTGGTAGGGGGCTCAGCAGGGGGCTCAGCCTCGCCCTCTTTACTGTCTGCCGGTGGCTGTTCTGTTGCGTTCTCCCCGTCCTTTTCTACGTCGATCAAGTCGGCCGTCGTTGCTTCCGCTGGCGTTTCCCCATCCCCGGATTTGGCGTCTTCAGCCGCTTGTTGTTCGGCTTCTCCTTTTTCGGCTTCGACATTGTCATCTTTTGCAGTAGGGTCACATTCTATGAAGTCATCCTCTAAGTGTAAGGTCAGCTGACTTTGGGAACTGAGAAAAACATCAGGCATACCATTGCTGGGGGCTTCAGTGTTCTCCTCGGGCGGTGTATCATCTACATCCGCCGGTGCAGCGTCTGCTTCGACTGGTTCCGGTTCTATGTCCTTTGGTGCATCCTCAACAGGTTGATCACTGGGAGGACTATCTTCTGGCGGTGGGGTGGACTCGTCTGCTTCTGGAGCGGGACTCTCGCCTTCCTCTTTTATTTCAGCAGTCGTATCGTTGGAGGTCTCTTCAGCCTCTGGTGGCGGTGTTGTTGCTTCGGTGGCACCTGATGAAGCTTAGTACAAGGAAGCAAAGGATGATAACAATCACGTGAGGTGACATGTTAACAAGTGTTTCAGGCCAGAAGGTAGTATCATCGCAGGCAGGTACAACATACCTTCAGACTCGGGAGACGTTGAGCCATCAGCGGGGGCACTATCGGATCCTTCTGTAGGGGTAGTCTCGGCGGCCGGGGCATTATCTGGTTCGACGGGGTTGTTGTTATTGTCCTGATCCTTAGGCGGCGTCAGATGATCCGTAGATGCAGTATTGACAGGGTAATATGAAAAGCTAAAAGTTTGACGGTCGAAGGTCTGATAGTGACGCTCGAAAGTCTGGTACTCAAACTTGGGAAGTTGTGCATACTGGACCGGGCGTTGCTCCATTTTCTCCGACATCAACGGGTGCCTCTGGGGTGGGATCGGGAGAGGGGGTTTGCTCTTTGGAGAGTTGATTGTCGTTTACGGGGAGCCTTTGCTTATTATTATTGTTGTTGCTCTTCTTTTTCTTGTTGTTTCCTTTTTTACCCATGGCATCGGATCAGTGGCGTTTCTTGGGTCTCTGATGACCTCTTTGTGAAACGGGAGTAACAAGCGGATATAAATCTATTGAAGGAAATATGACATATGCCTGTCGAATGTCTAGACAAGGCGCAGAAGACAGGGGTGAAGGCGAATGAAGAAAACCCAAAAATAGGGGCAACGCAAGAAAAAGGAACGCGAAACGAGGGGTGCTGTGTAATTGCTGGGTTAAGCAAACGCTGGGGTATGAGAGGTTGGAAGCACAAAGGGCAAAAAGGGCATAGGCCCGATGGTCCGCCAACAACATTGTGGTTCCTTTTCGAGGACGAAGACGAGGCGACGTATAGTAGGGCATTCGCTATCCAGTGCAATGGGTCACTGTCCAGGAATGGCTCGGGCTTGGGGCTGGGGACGTCATGAACGAACTGCCCGACGGCATCTCGTATCATTGGGCCACGTCTCACGGGCCCCATGGCCCTCCCGGACGGACATAGAAAGAGGGTCCTCTTCCGGAAGCATCACTGGGGCAAGGGGATAACCGGCGGAGCACCATCTGCAGCAGAAGCATGCAGTCGCAACTAGCAAGCAGGTGGCGGCGGGGAGTGGATGGGCAATTGTGGTCCAGATAGGATAGCAACACCACAGGGAATTGGGTGCTCCGTAGGGTGTGTCATTAGTGTGGTGGGGGTGGTGCCACAGCTCCATCAAAAGTGCTTTCGTAATTTAATTTTTTTTTTCTCCATCTGGTGTCAATGCCTTTTGTTTATTTGGCCTCTTGCGGGCAGAAGTATTGCATAGATAGTTCAAAAGTATCGTTGTTAGCCAATGCTCTGCAAGTACTTTGTACGGGGTCGTAAACCCAGTGGGAGAGGAAAAAGCAATCGGAGGGTCGATAGAGACCTGCGCCTTGAGCACGCAAGGTCAAATGATTGATCTTAGGCCCAATGAGTGAGCATTCTAATACAGCCAATCATGCCGGCATCCGGGATAATGAAAGGCGAGAACAAAAAAAGCCATCGAAAGTGTAAAGGGCATTGCCCATGGTTACTCCGACCTGTCGAGTGTACCTCATCAACATAGCCGGAGCACCAGTATCATAATCATTCATGCCCAACGGCTGGTGCAGCAATAGTAGTAAATTAGACGCATGGTCCGTGAGTAGCGAGACTAGGTCCCTGGTCAGGGAAGCAAAAAGCTAGGGGTGGTTGGGTGTAACTAGGGTGCGAATGTTATGGCCATGGGTAAGGATTACTGTTGTGACTGTGCACCGTTCGGTGGGTAAAGGCGATCAATCATCGACACAGCATCACTTCCCCATCACCGAGATGACAGGGGGGAAGAGGGAAAGCTGGTCGCGAGAGGGGGGCGATGAAGATCTCCAGAAACCTGGTCGATTCGTACTTCTGGTACTGATCAAGAACCATCGAAGCAAAAACGAAGCAAGCCAGAAGGGTCAATGGAAAAACAAACGCCTGGCAGAATGGTGAGGAAAGGAAAAGAGAGGGAGGGGAGGGAGGGAAAGTGAAGCCGGATTCGAAACTCCACCGGACAATTCAGCAGCCGCAGATCACTGGACCGCCCAACCAGGAATAGTGGGAATTTCTTTCGATCGGGTTTCAGTTTGAATCATTTTCAAGTGCCTTGACTATTCATGATTTCATTCAACAAGAGGTCAATTCCTCTCAGGCACCATGAAGAAGGGAGGCAAAAAAATTCGTCCATCGTGTCTCCAATCCCGATGACATTTTCCCGATCCACGATGGAAAGATCTGTCATCCCAAATCCGCATCGCGATTACTTCCGAGTAATAATCGAGAGATTGATTCAATAATTCCGAGGAAGGTCCAGATCATGGGCGGTGGGCAAGAAAAGAAGCCGGACTCGTCGCATCCACCGATAAGTGAGGCGCATTGCTGTTCTGGCAGCCGGTGAGTGGCTACCAGGGCACGCCCCCCATCCAGGCCCGTTGAAGGAGGCGTCATTAGTGATTAGATGGATGGAAATGGCTGCAAGCTACGGAGCACACTAAATCGTGATGCTAACTAACCCCATTCCTCCGAGACCCTCCATTTCTCCCTTGGCTACCTGCCCATCAGGCAAGCTGCCCAGCATTGCAGCTCGCGCAGACAGTGTTGTGTTTTGATGGGCTCCCCCGCTCGGGTCTATACAAACCCCAATTCCCAATCATCCCAATCAGCCAGCACCGATGCCTTCTCCCTCTGGCACAAACACCCTCCACGTCAACAACCCCCTCCCAATCTATCTATTGCCATCGCAACTGCCTTAACCCATCATCTCAGATACTCAGCCAGATACCCGAGATCGTTATGTGCGTGTCATTTATTTACTAGATCTTTCTATTGCCAGCACAGCGTGAATCTGTCAGGTTCAGGTCGAGATCGCCCGCAGATCTGACCTAAGTACGTATAGTAAGGTACCCAGTATAGACTACTATCTACACGTAGCGGACGGGCGCCCAAAGAGATGATGGTCACACAATAGCAGATGCCAGGTCCGACAGAATGTCATTCTCTCTCTATGCAAGTTTAACAATTTTGCCATCATGGGGTGCTTTCTTTTTGTCTCCGGCAATCCATTTGCTGACCACCACCGAAACCCTAGTCGATAATTTCGGTGTCATCCCACGCTGGAACATGCAACGGGCCGGATATGGCTGCCTCCCCGCTGGATTTCACCACCATCCCTGACCCATAGCCTTGATGTTTAATCCATCCATCTGGTGGTACCGCTTATGCATGTTTCCGCTTCGTCCCGGCGGTGCGAATTGCTGGTCCATTCCATCCGCTAATCCCCCACCTGTGGCCCCGTCAGGTGAAATTGCCGTCTAAACCATACGCGTACTTTGTGCTTGAGCGCTTACCTGGTCAGCCTGTGCTGTCAAAGTTCTGGCTGCCAATCACCGTGTAAGATGCTAGAATAGGATCACTAGAAGCGTGAGAGCTATCAGAATCTACTACACTCGCCTTAGTCTGCGCATGCTTGGGTAACCACTGTTGGCAGTGACATTGACACTGGGACCTATTATGAAACAATGCACAGGCTCAGAATCGACACTACCCCAAATTCATCCAATTAATTGTTGACTTGGCTATTCTATTGATCTCGACCTTTGCGCTCTATTGTCCTCCGAACCAGGCGATAGCTGCCGTTCGCCACAGCCTAGCAGGAGGCATCTGGCCTCGCTTGGGCTTCATCAAGTCTAAAAATAAACAATCATGCTCTTGGGTATCCTCAAGACGTAAGCGTTCTCTGGCGAATTCGAGGCCACTTCCACCTGTCATATCGACGCGGACTTACTCCTAGTACCACAGGGCGTGATACTTTGAGAAAGGAAAAAAACCCGGCAGATACCCCGAGACAGAAAGCCAAGGAAATGCTTTATGCAACCGTCTATTATGATCATGACGAAACACGACACTTACCAACAGTGTCTAGACCCAAGTAACAGTGTTTGGCACCCAACGCAGCGTACCAATGACAGAGACTGGTCATAAAGGACGTCATGTTCTCAGAGCATCCATCGATTTCCTCCATCGAGGCCCGTAAACTTTCATCACGAATAGGACGGAGCTGCTTGCAAACGCGACCAGTCCGAGAATGGTGAACAGCCATCCATTGCCAATGGCATCGATGATCGGGGCGGTGACAACTGAGCCCACGCAGGAGAAGATATTTCGCATAAAATTGTTTAGTGCGACACCTGCAGAGGATTTCTTGGGCATGAACTCTGTCAGCATGGTCGTTGCCATGCCGAAAATGAGCATCGATCCAACGCCGAAGAAGAAATTGGCAATCATCTAAAAAATCTTGTCAGTAAGATGCCATGAAGTGCATGAAGCAGAGGGGATAAGCATCAGCAGATGTGTGAAACCCTTTGTGTCAGACATCCAAGAACATACCGGTGCAAGCCAAAACACGCCTCGATCCGCGCACCATCCATACCAGATCAGTCCAGCAGGGTAGAGCATGGCGCCAAGCCAGGCATTCTCACGCATCCGGTCTTCGGGACGGTAGATCAAGTTTCCATGTTCGTCGTATCTTTTGGCTTTCTTTGCCTCCCGTTGCATAATGCTATCCATCCAACGGCCTCCGAAGGTGCTAGCAACAACATACCCGAGCGAGTTGGGTATATAAAGTAGGCCAACGATGATTGTACTGAAGTTATATGGGCTAGCGCTGAATGTATGCTCAACACTGACATTTAGCACATAGAGAGATCCAAAAGTGATACTCGCGTAGTATACAGTTAGTAGAACGGGAGGATAACGCAGGTAAAGAATGATTTTTAAAGGGTCGAGAAACACCATCTTGAGGACCTTCAGCCACCTAGTGGTGAATTGAACGACTTGTCGAGAGGATACTCGACTCACTTGACGTCTAATAGTTTCCTCTTGCTCGATATTCGCCTCCTGTGTCTGGAGTTTCGTGTTTGCCAGTGTTTCTGGAAGGGCAAAAAGGATGAAAACCACGGTGAGCCCTCCATAGGCGGCCAGAAACCAAAGCGTACTTCGCCATCCCCAGCGTTCAGCTAAAGCACCTCCTACAATTGGGGCTATCAGAGGTCCACATAGCGGACCGAGATAGAAGATATTCATAGCACGTCCCCTTTCTTGGGGGTCCCAAAGGTCCGCAATGGTTCCAGCACCAACAGCTTGAACTGATGCAGATGCACCGCCACTCAACATTCGCAGTACAATAAGCATAGCTATTGAACTAGAGATGGCGCAGAGAGAGTTGAAAACGACGAAGAGGCTGAAGGAAACGAGGTATATCGTTCGTCGTCCCAATCTTTCGCTAAAAGATGACCACCACAGTGGGAAGATCGACATACTAAGCATGTATAGGGAAATTGATAAATTTGTTATGGTTGTTGAGGTTCCCAGTTCCGTTGATACTTGGGAAAGGGAGGCTGGCATTCACGTAAGGACACGACCAAATTGAGCCACGACTGGAGAGATGGTCGACTTCGACTTACGAAAGAAGATTGAGCTACCCATTGGAGCTGCAGCTCCTGCCACTGCTACCACGAATGTGATAAACCATTTCGTCTTGCGCGGATATACCTTGGGGTTCTCAACTTCAGCCAGCAACGAGAGCTGACCAAAAAGTCCCCTTCGTTTCAATCTAGGTACCACTATCGGACCTTCTTTCTCTTCATCTGGAAAGGTAGTGCGGACATGTGATTCCTCGTCTTTGCCTTCTATCACGGGAGAGTCGTCAGAGCCTTGAGATATGGAGTCAGGGTCGCGCTTCTCGTCGATCATCTCATCAATAGACCGTATTGCTTCAGGGTGAGTATGACCAGCTGGGGAGACCTGCACCAAGTCGGCATCAGAAATGCCATTTGTTGCTGTCGCCATCTTCCTTTCCGTACTGCTTTTCCATATGAGAGGCTAACAGCCCAAGCAGCACGATAGGGCTCGTTTCAGAAGGGACACACTAAGAGGTCGGGACAGACTAGAATATCATGCATGTAAGAAAGTGAAAGTAGCATGCGCTAACTAGCCTTGCCGGCGGGGCCAGTGACAAACTGTTAAGACGAGATATAAGAGCTGAGTATCATCATAGACTGTCAATAAGTCGTAAGTATAAAAGTGAATAATGGTGAGAGAGTGTGGAAGACGAGCTGGTCGGTCCAGATAAGACAGTTGGAAAAGATCAAGTTTGGAGTAAGAAAGAAGAGGAGGAAGACTTGGGGTGCGTCTTTGCTCATGAGTTAGTTTGTATCAGCCGGGGTTGGTTCGTCCTAATCGGGCAGGAAACTGTATGTGCCTTCCCCACTTGCTCTGGTTGCACCTGCCATTGGATCTCAACAATCCAGGATTCCTTGATAGATCGATTTTGCTTACAAAGGATATAGTAGATCCTGCACGGGCTGCAGGCTCGATTTCCCAGTTTCTTATCTCTTCACTACACCTTCCTTTCTTGATTCTACGAACGTATGTCTAGGTAGCCGAGATTCTATCCCAAGAACCGAGAGAATAACATCATCTAGCTGAAACTGACAAGCAGCATATAGTACACCGCTACACACGCAAGGCGCCAGTATGCATACCGCAGTCAAACCCTTTTGGTTGCGAAATACTGTCTGACATTTGTGTAGTTTACTCCATAATTACTCCATAATTACTGACCAGGTACTCGGTCAGTGTGCTAAGCCCATGAATCAAGCAGCATCTAACCCTCCCTCCATACTCTAGGGGGCAAAGCCAAATTCAGGGCCAGCCAGTCAGAGACCAACCAACTGGTGCCGTCCCATCCGATGGCGGTCATTTCCGCCCCTGATTTGGCACTAATTGGTGCTTTGCCGAGGTCAAGCCTCGCTAGATAGCCGGACGTTAAATGTCCCGCTCGGTAGTGGGGACTCATAGCATGAGGAACAGGAAGGGAAACAGTATAAACAGCCGAATGCACATAGTACACAATATCACAGGTGCTCAGTCTTTGAGGCTCGAGAGTATAACCGTAACTAAACGATAATTGACATCAATGATGTGATGGAGCTAGATTGCTCGTTGATAAGGGCTCTCGGGTTCCTCTATATGGTATTGATCGTCATGTCGGGGAGAAGAAAAGCACCCGTAACACTATTCCAGCGCAATACTTTCGCAATATCCTCTCTTGCAGTCAGATATCGATTGCTTCCTTCAGATTCACGTTGCTCCGACTATCGCTCTATGGACGGTCTTTCCTGATGACAAACTAGGCATGTCAAAGGGTACCATTACTATGAGACCTAGGAAAACCCCCTCTTTCGGGAAACCCCCAAGCAGCAACGATGTCACTCAAGCAGACTGAACAGTACAATGAACGTAGCTATCCATATTGACAGTACATCTGCTACATCCAAGTCTATCCCCAAGCAACAGCTATCTATGGACGACAAACCCCTCTCTCCAGCCCAGTGGATACACTCCAGCACGACCCGCCGGCTCACTCACTTGCCCCACGTCCGAGCCAGAGCCAACCAACCTCATAGACAGTTCCAGAATACGAACCCAACCAGAATGACAACATAACTCACCACCTACTTACCCCGTACATCCAAAGTACCTACCAATACCTATCTACATACCTAGCACCCATCATCAATCCACCATGACCGACCAACCCACCCTCACAGCAGCCCAACAATCCGTCCACAACACGCTCGCCAAATACCCCGGCGAGAAATACGTCGACGGCTGGGCCGAAGTCTGGAACGCGAACCCCACTCCTCCCTGGGACAAGGGCGCCCCGAATCCAGCTTTAGAAGATACCCTGACGCAGCGTCAAGGTACAATTGGCAATGCCATCGCCACGGACGCGCAGGGGAAGAAGTACCGCAAGAAAGCGCTAGTCCCGGGCTGTGGGAGGGGAGTGGATGTGCTTCTGTTGGCGAGTTTCGGGTATGATGCGTATGGGTTGGAGTATAGTGCTGCGGCGGTTGAGGCGTGTAGGCGGGAGGAGAAGGAAAGTACTACTAGTGCTAAGTATCCCGTTAGAGATGAGGAGGTTGGTAGGGGAAAGGTGGTGTTCGTGCAGGGAGATTTCTTCAAGGATGATTGGTTGGAGGGGTTGGGACTGGGGTTGAATTCCTTTGATTTGATTTATGATTATACGGTGAGTTTTATAATGTCGCCAGAGAAGGCAACGGTCTACGGGTGGTTCTCTAGATGAACGATTACTGATTTCGAGTGTAGTTCTTTTGCGCGTTGAGCCCGTCCATGCGACCTGACTGGGCGCTCCGGCATACTCAGCTATTAGCCCCTTCGCCACATGGGAACTTGATCTGCTTGGAATACCCAAGGCACAAGGACCCATCGCTCCCGGGCCCTCCGTTTGGTCTTTCCTCGGAGGCTTACATGGAGCATCTCAGCCACCCGGGAGAGCAGGTCTCTTATGACGCCCAGGGTCGATGCAGAGGAGACCCTCTCCGTGAGACAAGCGAGCGAGGACTGGAACGTGTGGCTTATTGGCAGCCTGCCCGAACACATGAGGTGGGCAAGGATGCCAATGGGGAGGTTCAAGACCGAGTATCGATCTGGCGCCGCCGGTAAGGCCATATCCGCGGTAGATAGAGTATCGCCGGGATGGGAGTCACTGCCTTGATTGGTCAATAGCCTAATCTTTGATTGACGTTGTTTGTTTTATACGCTTCTCTATGTATGTTTGGAGAGTGCGTTGTAATGCTCCCCGAGTCCGTATGTGTGTCTGTAGTAAGCCAACCAGATGACCCGCTTGCTTCCCTCTTCGTCGCCTGGCTCTTCGACATCGCCTGGTTCGATCTTTTCGATTCTCCCATCTCCTTGGATGACATTGATCTCGACCCCATATGCCCTGGCGATCGCTTGCAATTCAAGTTGTCCGCCCCATTCGGCCGTCAGTTTGACTTTCCTAGTATATTGGTCCAAAGGCTCCTCCATGAATGGCGCAAAGTCGTCCTGGTGGTCGCTGATGAAGTCTGCCGCCACAGCTCTAACCGCCCGATACCCGTCATGCTTAGGCGAAGCCACGGTATCAATACGAGACTGAGTTGGAGGCTGAAGGATCATCCTCTTCGGGTCAGGTTTCAGACCGATGCCTTGCTCGTCCAATTGGCATGCGATGGCAGAGAACAGACAGTGTCCATCCGGGTTTATGTCAACCTCCTTCAACTGTAAGCGCTTGAACACGCCCTCCATGACCTCTTTCTCATTTCCACGATGATCCGTCTGGTTTGCGGCCTCCTCCGCGGCAATTGCCGATTGCGCTGCTTGTTCCGCGGCACGACGTGCTAAACGGGCCTTCTGACGATTGGGCTTCTTGGGACGAGGACCGGAGGGCTGCGGGGTAGCGGGGGTAGAGCTTTGAGGCGATGATGTCGTTGTCTCCGACGGGGTATCTGCATTTTGCTGATCGGGCGAGTCACCAGCCTCATCAGCGTTTCGGTTCCCTTCGCTGGATTCGTTCAGACTGAGGTCTTCGATGCCATCCACAGGCTGGTCTGATTCGCCGTTTAGTTGCGCGATCTCAGCTTGTTGCCGCTCAGAGAGCTCTCTTTGGAGCCTCTCGCAATCATCGTTAACTCCTTTGCGAGTCTTCTTCGTGGCGGACTTCTTCTTCTGGGTGATTCGAGCCTGGAGATCTTTTTGTTCCTTGCGGTGTTTAGCTTGTAGCTCCTCCATCCTGGGAAACGGGATGTGCTGGTCCAACTGAAACTCTATGAATGACTCTAGAAGAATGTCGAGAATTAAAATGTTGGATGAACGCGAAGGGCAGCTATGCAAAATAAAATCAAGGGTATCTTGGCAGAGTAGGAAGTTCAATGCTGGACATGCACGAGTGGGATGAAGCTCAGCCCCGCCAAAGCCTGTCGTGACTTTTTCTGGATCACCCGATCGGCCCTTCGGTGCTGATGCCTAAGGCATCAGGTCCCTTGGTCGCTCTTCGGGTACATTGAACGACCATCGAAAGGAGATAAGGATACCGGCAATGATGAGAGCTGCCTCAGGTGTCTCTACCAGCTTTATGATTACTGTACTCTGTATTGATCAAACCCGTGCTGGCCATTGCCACTGACATGCTATGCAAGCCACTACTAATCACTCCAGAAGCACTGCAACATTGTTCTTCCGTTCCGCCCTGCCTCGGTATCTTTTGTGACACTGTAGAATGATCCCCGGTTGTTCGGGTATCCCCATTATCCCCGGGCGGACCCCCAGGCGGTAAAGGTAACATCTATAAGGGGTAGATCAGCGTCTCTGTCCAGACCTCACACGTGCGGCTGACTGAGTTTCTTGCAAACGATCATCCATTTATTAAACTAACTTCTTTGATCTTCTCTGGCTTTCAGTACGATATTTACCACACAAACCATCATCATGGACGTTCAAAAGTTGTTCGACGTCAAGGTGCGTACTGCGGAGATGCAGAGTAGAGGCCTCGGCCTATACAGCTGAGCTGAAGATCTAACCATGCGATTAGGGCAAAGTCGTGCTGGTCACTGGTGGCGCCAAAGGAATCGGTCGGATGATCTCAGAAGGCTTCGTAAAGAATGGCGCCACTGTCTATATCTCGTCGCGAGACGCCAAGTCTTGCGATAAAGCTGTAAACGAGCTCAATGCACTTGGCACGGGCAAGGCCTATGCTATCCCTGCCGATTTCTATAAAGAAGAGGAAGTCAAGAGATTGGCCGAAGAGATTGCTAAGCGTGAGAGTAGTAAGTCTAGCCCCTAGAGTGCTGCTCCTTAGGGGAGAGGGAGTGCCAAGTGCTCTAGCTTAACACATTCCCAGAGCTGCATGTTCTTGTCAACAACTCGGGTTCCAACTGGGGTGCCCCGTACGACGAATACCCTTCGTCTGCCTGGACACGAGTTCTCACCCTCAATCTTCATCGTGTGTTCGACCTTACCAAGCTTCTCACCCCTCTACTGGAGAAAGCCGGCTCATCTGGCGACCCGGCTCGCATCATCAACATCGGTAGCGTTGATGGTATAAGGGTTCCGGCTCTGGAAACCTTTGCCTACAGTGCCAGTAAAGCTGGATTACACCATTTGAGTCGTGTTTTGGCACACCACCTTGGTAGACGGAACATCACGTATGTGTAACTCCCATATGATCGCTTATCGACGGCGCTTGGGCTGACCCGACACTACCCGCAGATCAAACTCCTTGGCCTGTGGCCCATTCGAGAGCAAGATGATGGCTGCCACCTTGGAAGCGCATCGAGAGACCATCGAGGCAAGTATTCCTTTGGGTCGTATTGGTACCCCGGAGGATGTTGCAGGTGCGTGCTTGTTCTTGAGCAGCCGCGCCGGCTCGTATGTGAATGGAGCGACTATCACTCTGGACGGCGGTAGCGTAATCGCAGCGAAGCTCTGAACTGTAAGCTGTAAGCAAGATGGAACGGATGTTCGGGGTAATTCATGTATGCGTATGCAATGCAGAGTTGATCTAAGCCTACATACAGAAGGTCCAACCCAACTAATGGATTGTTTCATTTTAAACTTTATGATCCGTGGTAGACCTGGCAGTCCGTGCCCAAGTCATGCAAATTATAATGTTCAAAACTTAGTCCAAGCCACCCATCTTGTCTCCCCTACCATGAAGAAGGCAATACGACTGGAGGCTGAACAACGAGCTTGACATCATCCCATGGTTGGCATATGACAAAGGAGGATGTCATGCTGAGCGGTTAACTCTCATCATTGGGAGGAACATGGCTGAAGGGATTCACTCCCTCAACAAACCTTCCACTAGTATTTGCGAATGGTTGGCGTTTGCCTACCTTGCCTTCTGACAATCTCAATATCATCTCCAGGGATCGTCTACTCCAGTCAGCGCACATCGAAAAAAGCAACCTGGTGTTCTGCATTTTCCACGCCGAAGGTTGCTGCGGCGATCTTCGCTCGCCGTCAGCCACCATTTCTAGTGTGCACTAGAACCGTTGGCTAAGAAAATTCCCTCCTATATCGCAAAGGTGCATCTATACAGCCTCCATCTAAGCTCTGGTGACCGATCGCGTGGGGTCGTGATTTTCTGGAACGGTATTGGTCCGGACAAATCGCTCACTCTATCAGCGCGGGGCTCTATTGGCACAGAATAAAGATCTCACAGCGGGCTCTCCCAAGATCCTAATCCCGGTAAAGAGTCTGAGATTGCTGTAGAATTTGGGTAAACTAATCTTTTCTAGTTTCGTCTCTTCAGTCATTGCGTGTTGGTATTCGTGATTGGCTTGTCCCTTACCGCGCCGGAATCGTTTTGTTCCCGATCTATGAGCATACCTGCCGCGACGCAGTATGTGGAAGCTGCAGGCTAATTTTATCACTCTACATTGTGCGTTGACTATCATTGCAATACTGGTGGCACAAATAGCTCATCTATCTGCACAGATGCATACATTCTTTTTCTGGGTCTTTTGGGATTGGTCGTTCTTTACCCCTACGGCAATCTCCGCGCCATCGATGCATACTTCTTCGGTGTAAGCTCTTCGACCGAGTCAGGGCTTAACACGTTAGTCGATCTTTTCTTTATTCGTGCTACTTACCGTCGACTCATAGGAGCATAGTCTGACGTGGATATTATTTTTAGAGTCGACGTTAAGGACTTGAAGCTCTACCAGCAACTCTTCGTCTACTTTGTTCCAATCGTCTCGAACCTCGGATTTATCAATATTCTGGTGGTGGTTGTCCGCTTGCTATGGTTCGAGAAACGCCTCAAAGAAATCGGTAGGTACTTTCACGAGCTAGTGCTAGGTTGCTCGATGTTTACTCTCGCTGATGCGATAAACTTCAACAGCACCTGGTGTCCTTGATCGAAAGAGTAACCCATCGAACTATGATTCCGCTCGCTATGACCCTGAAGCGCATCCTCGAAGGCAGAGTGAGCCTACTACGTCAGAAAACGTACCAGGCGACTCAACAGAGAAGGATGTCGACGATGGCCAGCGCTTTGTTGGCTCGAAAATTGGTCATGTGGTACCCGATAGGTGAGAACGTGGCCCGATACTTGATGTCGCTATGAATCGCATTTCTAATCGCCATATAGGCCTAGAAGCACTGGAAGAGTACGACCTGAAAACGACAGCTCAGATCCACAGCCAGCTGGTTTATCGCGGAGTATCTCCTTTGCGGACACTACCAAGGCGCTCTACATCCCTTCACCACAAGAGCGTGACAGAGGTACCTTAAATTTCATGGCGCGTTGACGGCCAGGCAATAGCTTATAGGAAATAGGGGTGCCGATAGCAGAAGTCCAACGAGGACCGGGTGAGGACGGTAAGCCTAACTACAAGCTCTGTTGCAATCACTCAGTCTGACACCGGGTAGTCATCGAAGAGGAAGATGAGGACGCCGAAACTGAGCGGAGAAACTCTGAAAATACGGATGACCTGTCTGAGAATGGTAGAAGCGCTACCGGTGGCTTACCATTCGAGCGGGTAGCATCGTCTTTGTTCGTGATCGGGAAACAACCTAGCAGAGCCCGAGAGCCATCTCTGCGGCCGGCCATATCTCTCTCCAAAGACGCAAACCTGCCGGAGCTCTCCGTACAAGCAACACTTGGAAGGAACTCGCAATTCCACAACCTGACTGCTGCAGACCGAGAGCGACTTGGTGGCATCGAGTACCGGAGCCTGAAGCTACTCCTCAAAATTGTGATCGGTGCGTATATACAGCTTCGTTCCCTCTTCTGCGTTCAGCAGGCTCATCTATCATCAAAAGGTTATTTTGTTGGGCTTCATGTGATTGGTGTGGTGTGTCTTGTCCCTTGGATCTTGCATTCGAATCGCAAGTATAGGGACTACCTCGACGAATGCGGTCAAAATGCAGTCTGGTGGTAAGTCCTGGTATATATGAATCTTACAGGCAGTCTAATATTTATAGGGGGATTTATTCGGCTCAGACGATGACTAGCAACCTGGGACTTACACTTACTCCGGATTCCATGATATCATTCAATGATGCCGTGTTCCCTATGCTAATCATGAGTTTTCTCGCTTACGCTGGAAACACTTTATATCCTTGCTGCCTCCGGCTTCTCATCTGGGGCATGTCTAAGTGTATCCCTGAGAGCTCTTCTCTTAAGGAGCCCCTGGAGTTCTTGTTGAAGTACCCTCGTCGGTGCTACTTGCTCCTCTTTCGCAGCAAGCCAACATGGATCCTATTGGGATAATCTTTGTATTGAATTTTGTTGATGTTCTTTTAATCCTGGTCCTTGATCTCGACAACCCTGCGGTAAATGATCTACCTGGGGGACCTCGTGTGGCGGCAGCTATCTTTCAGTCAGCATCTTCACGGCACACAGGGACAGCGTCGTTCAATCTTGCCGACGTGAACCCGGCAGTTCAATTCAGCTTACTCGTCATGATGTACATTTCGGTATTCCCTATCGCTATCAGTGTACGAGCCTCCAACATCTATGAAGAAAAGTCAATCGGGGTATTCTCATCAGAAACCGATATGGACGAAGGTGACGGCAAGAAATACGTCTTAATGCACATGCGAAACCAACTCAGCTTCGATTTGTGGTATATTTTCCTTGGAATCATGTGCATCTGCATTGCAGAGTCGGCGAAAATAATGGACCCCACGAAGCCGGTTTGTGACCCTCCTTGACCGTTGGAAGCATCGTTCTGACCTGGACGACAGGCCTTCTCCGTGTTCGCGATATTTTTCGAAGTCGTCTCAGCCTAGTGAGTATAGCCACGCCATGGTTACTGCGCGTAGTTGTACCTAACGTATGCACAGCGGAAACGTCGGCCTAAGTCTAGGATACCCGACCGCCTCCACCTCCTTCAGCGCTCAGTTCGATATCTTCAGTAAGATAGTCATCTGTGCCATGATGATTCGTGGACGGCACCGTGGACTGCCATATCAGCTCGACCGCGCGATCCTCATCCCCAACAACCGCCTTGTGGAGGATGATAAAGTTGAAACTCGACCAAGTATCTCCCTGCCACGCATCCGCAGTATGGATCCGACGGACAGCAGATACATGAAGATGAAGAAAGCCCATACCAGATAGCAGGAAAACTTTGTCTTTTGGGTTTGGGCGACTCTCTTCAGGCTTTCTTGCTTTGCCAGGGGAGGTGAAAGGTTAATGAGTCTTGGGTGTGTACAGGCTGTCCCACACCGAAGAAGATCTAGAATGTACATAGACTGAAAGATCATCCCACTTTCATTGTTGCTGTGTGCTCCAAACTAGAGATATATCTATCGAGTGCCACGTCAAGAGCTCGACCAACAGATGCCGCGGAGACCCACAGACCTCCTTCATTTTTGCTTTATTGGTTTGGTCCTCGTGACCACTCGTTATCTGGTAGTAATTGCTTTTTTTATTCTGGATTACTCCTTTTTCTTCACATTTTCTCCTTATTCTTTTTTTTTTTTTTGGCCTAAATTGTCCAACAACTTATCTCCAGAGTCCATTCAATGCAGCACAAGTAGGGCGGAGGCAGCCGAGGGAAATACCGAAGGGGGGGAATTATTGAGTGGAGCGGCGACATCATCGGGCCCGTGGCGTCATAGTCTCCAAGGGAACTTCATTCTCTACATCGATGGGATGCTGTTGGGTGCTGCCGCTCAATCCGGGCAAGAAATAACAATTATAATCATAATAGATAATCAAAATTCCCCCTGTTAGCGAAGAGTACAAATTCAACAGTCTGAGACTACTTCTCCTTTTTTTTTTCTTTCTTAAGTTTTCAATCTCAACCAGTATATATTGAGAGTTACACACCGCCGAATTGCACACAAACAAAAACCTTCAAAGGAACCAGCCAAACCGAAGACCGGGTGTTGTGACGTACCCCCCCAAATCGCACGGGAGCTGAACCGCCGCTGGTGGCCAATCCATCTTACACAAAAAAACTCCCTTTGTCGTGTACTTGCATTGTCTCTCAATCCTCTTACTTACCCAATACCCTACTGTTTGTCCTACCATCCTACCCAGCTTTAGCGAGATTGTCTGAGGTACGAAGAGCATAACCTCAGTTTTTTTTCTTGGGTACTGTCTCGAGTCCAAGAAGAGTTACAGCGCCACGAACGGGCCTAGCGTCTTCAATAATTGGTGTCGCAGTGTCACCCCTTAACCCAACCATCCATCCACCCCTGCTCGGATCCCCCGTTTTCGCTCTAGCCTTTCGTTTGTCGGGCCTGTCATCGAACGTCTCTTCTATCTACCATCCCACAATCTCCCGACGATGAGCTCGCCAAGTGCTCAGCATCGACGCAACACGTCTCTCGATCCATTCTCCGATCCCGACGTCTACTATGGCGATGAGGATAACATTGCTCGCATGAGAGACCGTAAGCGGGCATTCTCTTCGGTACGTCCGGATTCTACCGCTCCCCTAAGATAAGCTGAGAAATAGCTGTGCTGACCCCACGCCTGTGAACAGACTCTTAAATCTTTCAATCGGGATGACATTCAAGAATTTCTCGGAGGCCAATTCCCCGCAAGAAGAGCGAGTCATGGTACGTATAAAAGAACGAAAGATCAATTCTCCGAATTATCCAGGGATTGTGGGCTAACCCGCGGGGTATACAGATGAGACGCCGGCCGTTCCCCGCAAATTCCTCATTGACGTTGACACAACGCTCCACAGTCTGTTGGAGCGGGAAGACACAGATCGGAACATGCAGATAACGATAGAAGATGTGGGCCCCAAGGTATGTGTGGTCGGATGTCAAAAAATTACGGCCACTTCGAGTCACTAATGCACTGTCTTGCAGGTATTCTCCGTGGGAACCGCTGCATCTTCGGGATACAACCGATTCGACTTGCGAGGAACATACATGCTTTCCAACCTCCTTCAGGAGCTCACAATCGCCCAGGACTACGGTCGGAAACATATTGTGCTCGATGAAGCCCGTCTCAGTGAGAACCCTGTCGCACGGCTCTCTCGTCTCATCAAGAATTCCTTCTGGAACGCCCTGACACGGCGTATTGATGGACATAACATTGCTGAAGCTGGTCGCGATCCCAAGGATTGGACGGACGACCCACGACCCCGGGTCTACGTCCCTCCGGGAGCCCCGGAGCAGCTTGAGTACTACAAGGGTATTGCGGAAGCGCATCCCGAGCTGCGCCTGGATGTGCAGTTGTTGGACTCGAATATTACTCCGGAGTATACCAGGAGGCTGAATGACAAGCCCGGTCTTCTGGCATTGGCCATGGAGAAGAAGGTTGATGAAGCCACGGGGAAGACCGAGTATAGTGGAGTTCCTTTCGTGGTCCCGGGAGGAAGGTTCAACGAGCTATATAACTGGGACAGCTATATGATGTCTCTGGGTCTGCTGGTCAGCAACAGAGTCGACCTGGCTAAAGGCATGGTGATCAACTTCTGTTTCTGCATCAAGCACTACGGGAAGATTTTGAACGCAAATCGTTCGTACTACCTCATGCGTTCCCAGCCTCCTTTTTTGACCGACATGGCTTTGCGTGTGTATGAACGGATCAAGAACGAGCCCGATGCCATGGAATTCCTTCGCAATGCGACGCTTGCCGCAATCAAGGAGTACTACAGCGTTTGGACGGCTGAGCCGAGATATGATCCGGTTTCTGGTCTTTCCAGATATCGCCCCGAAGGTGAAGGAGTGCCTCCGGAGACGGAGCCGACTCATTTCCTTCATATTCTGACTCCGTATGCCGAGAAGCACGGCATGAGCTTTGAAGAATTTGTTGAGGCCTACAACGAAAAGAGGATCCTGGAGCCAGAGCTCGACGAGTACTTCCTGCACGACAGGGCCGTGCGAGAGTCGGGACATGACACCAGCTACCGTTTGGAGAGAGTCTGCGCCAATCTGGCTACCGTCGATCTGAACTCACTGCTGTACAAGTACGAGGTGGACATTGCCCGCATCATCCGCACCTACTTCAAGGACAAACTCGAGATCCCGCAGGAATTCCGGACAGCGTCGACCCAGGATATCCAATTCGAGTCATCCTCGGTTTGGGACCGTCGCGCACGCAGAAGAAAGATGCGTATGGACACTTACCTCTGGGATGAGGAGAAGGGAATGTATTTCGACTACGATACTGCCAAGCAGGAGCGCACCTCGTACGAGAGTGCCACCACCTATTGGGCGATGTGGGCTGGTCTCGCGACACCCCACCAAGCATCGCAGTTGGTGCAGTCCCTCAAGCGGTTCGAGGCCTACGGAGGCCTGGTCTCGGGAACTGAAGAATCTCGGGGTGCCGTTGGCCTGGATCGGCCTAACCGGCAATGGGATTACCCGTACGGATGGGCACCCCAGCAGATGCTGGCATGGACAGGTTTGATGCGCTATGGCTACCAAGAGGAAGCCGAGCGTCTGGCATACAAGTGGCTGTATATGATCACCAAGGCCTTTGTCGATTTCAACGGCGTGGTGGTCGAGAAGTACGACGTCACCCGGCCTATTGACCCACACCGAGTGGATGCCGAGTACGGCAACCAAGGTGTGGATTTCAAGGGGGCTCCCCGCGAAGGGTAAGCGTTGTTCCCTCCCTGATGAGTAATAACCATGCGAACGCAACACTAACCCGGTCATCTCTCTAGGTTCGGATGGGTCAACGCCAGCTACGTGTATGGACTGGAAATACTCAATGCCCATCAGCGACGCGCCCTGGGCGCCATCACGCCGTACGAAACATACAACAAGGCGGTGGCTGTCCAAGACTATTAAATTGGAACTCGAGGATGACAAAGAAAGGAGAGAGCATGATCGCATTTAGCGCGGCTATTTGTTTTCGCCCGTCGTGGCACTTGTCGACTTTCTGCACAAAAAGGAAAAAGGGTTATGCGGACACAGTTTCTATAGCTTTAGAATCGGTTGGACGAGGGGACATCTTGGCTTTTTGGTTATAGAGGATGCATTGCCTGCTATGATTGAGTTGACTCAATAGTTGATTTATGCTGATGCAAAGAGAGAGAAGGGAGCTTGTTATTATTCCGAGGTGGACATATCCCGAGTAGAAGTGACGAATCTTCTTGAATGTGGCGTTTTTGTCTTTTGGGTTATTGTTCTTTTTGATGTTCATTGTTCGGGTTTGCGTCTCCAGCCACAAAGTCCACGATAAAACGATTAGGTAGTAACGAGAAATAGTATGTAGTAGTTAATGCATTCTTCCGGATTTGGATGACAATGATGGTTTTCCTTTTACCCCGTAAGCAGATGCAGCTAACAACGATCGGAGATCAATCCAGGGTCTGGTCTGAGTCTGAGTCTGAGTCAGAAGTCACGACTGTCAGATGAATGAATGGATGGATGACCTCCCACAGACAAATTCACATGTGAATGAAACACATACATTCTAAACTACCTACAACCCAATATTGCTATTTTCTTTTTCCCCAGACATCCATCCCTCCCAATTTATCCATCCATCCATTCCCCCAAGTTTACACCGTAGATAGTCCTAGTAATTGACACACGACCACGCAGCCCCGAAACCCCCAACTCCCAAACCCAGCCCAGCCCAGCCCAGCTGAAAGCTCCATGCATCAGCCCCCAGAATCTCCGAATACTAACTTACCACCCAACCACTCAGCCCAGTAGATAGCAGTGTACCTTTGTATACGGAGTAGATCTGCACACACACTCATCTTACAATAACAAGTATACTATGTATGTAATTACAACTACTATCCCTGTAGACAAAAAAAACACAAGAGCTACTCATCTCCGAAACACACCCACGCACTCCTCACAACATCCAACTTCCGATGAATAGTACTATTCTCGGCCATCGTCCGAAATCCTCCACATACACCATCACTCTTTCACAAATAACAAGGACTAAAAGTAGTAATAGTAGTAGAATACTCGGAACACCATCTCCTTAACTTCCCGACCTTGCGTGGCCCCTCAGGGCTATGAAGAAGAAGACTATACGGAAGGGACAGACAGCTACTACGTGGATCGGCTATGAGATGGGCATCTGATTGGGTGGCGGGATGCCGAGGCTGATTTTCTTCCCCGTGTTGTATTGATGCCTGAGGGGTATGGATACGGGAGTGGGGAAGTAGAATCATAGATATT